CTGCCAAATGAACTCAGACCAGAATCCACTTCAATCTCAAGCTTCTTACCTTATATATCAAACACCACTACACAGAGTAAATCAGGATGACTTCCCGGTTGCCATTTTTTGACCATGTCGTAGCTCAGTCGATTAAGGCAGCCTCTGGGATCCTCTTGGACGTTGGTTCGAATCCTCGTCATGGCTCTTGTGGATTTGTGCATTTGACTACAGATGATTGATTGATGAAGATTAAGCCACCCAAAAGGTGGCACGGGCATGAATAGCCCGTAATTTGACTACACAGTAAATTCTATTTATATAGGGTGAGTATACTATATAAATAGTTCACGTATAGGGTTAGTATATACTAAGTAAATAGTTTACACACACACACATATTATATATATATATATATATATATATATATATATATATATATATATATATATATATATATAACTGAAAACTCACACCCCAGAAGTGACTCGAACCCATACTCCCAGAAGCAACGCAACTGGTATGTACAAGACGCCTTAATCCACTTGACCATCACGACCGGACAAAATGAGGTGATAGCCGAGGCTATTTGAACCACCCCACCGCCGGCACTCGGATAGTTATCTTGGGCATAGCATTTACCAAATCACCTCATTCTTTGGGGCACACGTGAGGAACACAAATGCGAACAAGCCTGAATGGTCCCAGGACATATGCAACTGAAAACTCACACCCCAGAAGTGACTCGAACCCACACTTCTGGGGTGTGAGTTTTCAGTTGCATATGTCCTGGGGACCTTTCAGGCTTGTTCGCATATATATATATATATATATATATATATATATACACACACACACACATACATATACATATAGGGTTTAGTAATACGAATATTACATGAAACATACAAGCCTTAGCTGACTATAGGAGTCTGGCCGTGCTGCTGGTCCTGGTTCGATCCCTCTATGACCGCTCCAGCCTACACCTGTTGCCCTCAGTGAACAACATGTTTGTCTCCTGAACCAATCCTGTCGGTAAGGTAATAGTCTCAAATAAAGAAACAAAGTAATAATTTCACGTGTTTAAAAAAGTTAAAACCTGGAATTCAAGAATTGCTTTTGTTACATATTCGCTTAAATACGCTCAATTATCTCCTTTTGACTGCCTATGTACACGTATATCTGGCCAAAGAAAATACACAGAAGACTCTAGACACATTTTGAGATATTACAAAACCATAAATCACACATTCACTACCTACGGGGCTATTCATGCCCGTGCCACCTCTCGTGGCGGCCTAATCGTCATCATTCAACCGCAAAGGAACAGTATGAGATGTCACTTAACATGCCGGTTACCGCGAGGAGGGAGAATTGACCTATTATGGCGGCGGTGAGTGTTTCAACAGCAGCTCACCGCGGCGCCGCTCCTTATGTAATGGCTGCGTCTGCTCCAGCCTCGCTCTCTTATGAGAGTCTATATTAATCGCCAATGATTTGGGACGGTAAAGCTTAATTATTTATAAGTACCGGTTATGAATATTAAAATTAACTAGTTCTTAAAGAACCAGGCGCGTTTTCTTTGTTAGATGCTTTTAAACTACTATCCAAAGGGGAATTAGTGGCTAATTTGGCCACTATGGTGCACAGTTTAGAGGTGACGTGGCGGGCCTTCACGTAGTTATAAAGGTAGTTATAAATACATAATTAACATTTCAATTATAACCGAGAGTGTTTCATAGTAGATTTAAATTATAAAGCGTTATTAAATTAAAGGTTATATCTATCCCAGTTGATATTTTCCGCACATCTTATCAGCCGGGGAGTCGAGAGGGATCATGAGCAGCCTAACTCTCAACTGGCCGCAGTCTTTAATAGGATTTTTAATGGATGGTTTAGTTAATTGTAATGATCTAACGGGTTTAATGTGTGGCCAGGGAGGATTGACTAGACACCAATCCATAACTGTACGCCTCCGTTCACCCAGCAGTGAATGACTACCTGGTTGCTAAACAATTTGGCGGGTCATATTCCAGGGAACTTAAGAGTAAAGACCTGCCCGAAACGCTATGAATACTATTTCAAGAAAAGGGGGAGGAAAATGGGTAAAGGGGAAGAAAACATGGGGAAATGTGGAGATAAAAGAGAAGAATGGGGGATGGGGGGAAGAGACAGGCTATCCCGGGCACCGCCGGGTACCCATCCTGGTTATTTATATATACATTTTAGTTTATTAAATGTCTTGATATTTTCGTTATAATTTTCTGGGATACGACCCCTTTTGTAAGTGAGCTGCCATGATAAGGTGCTCATGGGCTCTCTTACCCTTTATTCCTCTCCCCTTTACTGCCCTTCCGTCCTCTCCCTGCATTTATCATTCCTGTGCTACTCATAAAGGCATTACGTTCCGTTCTCTCTATCCCCCATCTGCAGATCCATTCCCACCCTCCTTGGCCCCCGCACATAGATCACCGGCCTAGCATATCTCAATAGATTAAGTGTCGGAGGAACAGGGAACCTTTATGTCCTCCACTTCAAGTCGTGCCTCACAGCGTTAAAAGGTCTGAAACCACAGTCTTCAATAATACGAACGTTATACGTGACGTTTTAAATCTATTGCCTCAGATTCTCAGTGGTATTTACACATCATATTGATACATTTGAGGGTTGCAAACTTAGAATTCGACTCATGAAGACTTTCCCTAACATCGTAAATGCGAGAAATATTGAAATATAAATAAAACTTGGAAGCGCGGGCTCCAGTCCGTCTCTGGCGCGCCACCAAGTCTTCCCGCGCTTTTGTTACAGCCAACAACAGTCAGCGGTCGATGGCGGGAAACTGCTCCTCGGCTTTGATTTAAATAATGACTTGTTGAGTGAACTTCGAGCCTCTCTTATTTGTTCGCGGGTGGACGAGATTTTATGCTTTCTGGGTCATTAAAGGTTCGAAAATATTTACCGGTCTTGAGGAGAGCTGGAGTAAATGTTCTCTATCGAAAAACTCAAGTAAAATATTTTTTTTTTCAGTCAATTTTGCTGTATGTGAGTTAAGCTTTGAGTTTGTTTGTTTCCCGCCATTTCATTTCATATATTTTTTTTATTATTTGTCACATTACACTCCAGGTGTTTGATCTTCTAAACTCCCTCGCGTCCTCCCCCCTCTCTCTCTCTTTCTCTCTCTCTCTCTCTCTCTCTTTCTCTTTCTCTTTCTCTTTCTCTTTCTCTTTCTCTCTCTCTCTCTCTCTCTCTCTCTCTCTCTCTCTCTCTCTCTCTCTCTCTCCATACTCTTCTATCACCCCTCATCAGCTTCTGACTCAGCTCACCCCTCTTCCTTCAATATTTCCCCCTCTCTGCCTCTTCTCGCAGGTTTTTTGTTGAGTTACTCGTCTCTTCATCTCTCCCTGGCGCCTCTACCCCCTAATGCCTCCATTTTTTATGGGGGGGGGGGAGTAAAGAGGATGGAGAGGTGAAGGGAAGTTTAGAAGCGGGAAATACAGTGAGAGTTATGAAACACATTTAAATAACTTGAACGCCAAATTACAGAGATCTGGCAAAAACTTGTTATTTTTGATAGCATAAAAGGCTTTGAAATTAAACAAAAATTTTAAACGTGTTGTCGACAAGAATATGGCATTTGTTAAACATTTCCCTAACCCCCTCAAAAAAACACATGACAGATCTTTCAATCCTTGAGAAAACAGACATTCAAAGCCTTCAAATGCTATTTTCGAGCATCATCAATTCAACTGCTAATCGATTTTTGTTTAAGATTGAGTAAATTTAGATCACTTGAAGAAATTGCAAAATTCATAGTGTGCCGACAATGTAACATTAGACAGCCATGACCAGGATTCATCAAACATATATGTATACACTTCCGAAACCTGTACATCTTTCCTTAATGTATACTGGAGAAAGTTTAAAAGTTCAAGTACGTTTATTGAGACAATAAAATACATCTCAAAGGGATAGCGTAGCTTAGGCTTTTTTCTACCCTCCAGTTTAAAAGTCTTGGGCGCTTGATGTTGATAGAATTGTCTCTCAGCATACCTATTGCACCTTTGCTTTTCAACGGGCTATTTTGCACTTCCTGCCATGCCTACTGGTTTCACGTGGTGGTATTTCCCTGTGCAGATTTGGAACCAGCCTAATATTTTCCACTTTGCTTTCTCATTCCCCGCCTCCTCCCTTCTCTTTCTTATTCCCCATTCTTCCCCTCTAATCTTATTTCCCCTCCTCCCTTCTTCTACTCTCATTTTCCCCCTCCCTGCTCCCCCCTCACCCTATAATGCACACAGTCTCCAAAATGACACTCTTAATTAAACAGGGGAAACGAGATTAACGCGGCCGTTCGCTGGTTATTTCAGGCAGACCCAGTTGAGTTGTTAATGTAAACTCACTGCTTCTCTTCTGGTTTGCATCTAGACAACAGCTTACGACACCATAACAACGTATTCACTTCACATTAGCGTCGAGGTCCCAGCGGATATATTTAATGAACACATCAAACAACTAACACGTTTGCTGTTTACATCAAGGTTCGTGTAAACCTTGGTGTAAGCTAGTTTACTTGAAGATTAAATAGTGGCACCAACATATTGCCACAGAGAAATTGTCTACGCGAGGCTTCAAGAAGAAGTTTAGTAGTTCAAAACATTAAGATCATGGTCACAGGCTTATAGGTGCGTTTGTCAAGCTAGGAATCTTCATCATCTATAGCTAAGAACCGTCATAATATAGCTAGGAACCGTCATAATATAGATGAGAACCGTCATAATATAGATATGAACCGTCAAAAATAGCTAACAACCATCATAATATAACTAGGAACCGTCATAATATAGCTAGAAACCGTCATAAAATAGCTAGGAACTGTCATAAAATAGAAACCGGTGCCATCTTGTTTGAAACCGTTATCTGTTTTATATAAAAAAATTACGAAATATTGCAAATTAATCAATACTTTTCCTAAAATATTTATCAACCAAAGAAAATGGAAGCAGTGAGGCGGCGCCACAAGCGAGCATCTGACGCCGTCATAACAACATACATCACCGTCCAGTCCCACGCGCAGACTTTCAGCACCTTTGAGGCGCTCACGTCAAGCCTAACAGCCTTGTTCAGGCCTACGGTAGTTTCAGCCTTTACACGCAGCAAGTAGCATCAGGCGTTAAGCCAAGAATCAAGACTGAAGCCTTGTTAGAGAGTCACGAGTAAGGCGTCGCTGGGAAGAGGATATATCTTCATCCCCACCTTCAAGAAACACGAGTTTGGGTCAAGATGTATACCTTGAAAAAAGTATTTCCATTACATACATGTATGTTAAGGGTAAGTTCTGGGTAAATTTTGATTCACAGATATCCGTAGATATAAATATAAATATAATATTAGATAATATTTTTCAATTAAATTTTCAATTTCAATGATATTTTGTTTTCATGTTTGCACATTTATATTTAGAAAATAAGGACATAAAATAAATTTAAGGAAGATAAGGACATAAATCAAATTTATAGAAAATAGGGCATAAATTGAATTTAAGGAGGATAAGGGCATAAATCATATTTATAGAAAATAAGGGCATAAATTGAATTTAAGGGCTATAAATCAAATAGTGCTTCTAAAAGTTCATTGGACGTAAATCAAAATGACATAAATTGGCAGGACTTAAATGGAGGGATAACAGTACTTACCATTGTAAAACTTACTATCAAATTTTTACCATTTGAACAGTTTAAATGTAGCATTTTCATTTGCTTGCTTATACTGTACTGCATCTAGAAATTTATTTGGTCATTGAGGGGTCCTGCCTTTACCCTCATTTTGGGGGTAAGAGTTCTTGTTAGGTTCGTGACCAAGTTTCTTGAAAATAATGTACTGTACATATTAACCAACTCTCTAAATTAAAAATTCTTAGTTCTCACTGGAACTTCCTTCATTTAGGGATGATGATTTACATGTATATGCAAAATTGCATTTAAAGTTAGCAAGTTGAATCAAGTAGCTACTTTATAAAAGACATTAAGGAGCCCTCCAATATTTTCAAGAATTTCATTTTCCTTGAAAATGATACATTTTCCTGTGATACAAATGCTATGCATGCTAGTGGCTGTACAAGAATGTAAGAACTCTTGTAGGTATATATAAATAATTAAATTAAAAAAAAAACACATTGATTGAAAATGTTACACCATAGTAACTCTGTTGAGGGAGAGCCTCATTTAGAATCTCAACCAGATATGGCTACCCATTAGTGTTACAGACTTTTTACCATCCATACTTTTTAGCAACTTTCATATCCCTTCCTCAGCATCTCTCCTACCTTTCACCATCTTCCCTGTCCTTCACCCCTCTTTCCCTTACTATTACCATCTTCACTACACACTATCTTCATACATAATGCTACACAAGACAAAATAACATTTAATCATGATGTAGAAAATAAAATGCTGGATGAAATTTAGTAAGGATGTAGTCCAGTATTTAGTGAGATTGGAAATTGGTATTATTTGTCATTTCATGCAAATAGTGGGCATTTGAGGGTTGACCCTGACTCCCCTATGACCATCCCCAAAAACCCACCATTCATCCTGCAAGCTGGTCGAGGCCAGCCTCAAGCATCTGGCCTCTAACCTTGATAACAGACGGGCATAAATACTGTATTGTCTTTGTTAGATATAGATTATACATTATTTTTCCCATCAGAAGATCCAGTTTTCTAGATCTGTATTTAAACATTTCTTAATTTATTTTCAGGCATTTGCAGCAGAAGCCAAGGTGAAGCCAAAGTTTGACTTTAAACTTACAGAAAATGTTGCTGAAAAGGTGAAGACAGGATTGCTGAAGCCTCGTCATCACCCAGGAGTTTTACGTGTTGGCTCAGTTTGTATTCCTGATGATCTCTTACAAGCTGCTACCACTGCCCTTGTTGGTGGGTTCTTGAGAACTTAACATAAGTCTGCCCCTTTGATAAATCTCTTATGAAGAGTTTTTCAGATACAGTACTGTACTATATTATGTTTCTCAACTGTTGTTACTTAATGGATGGTAACTAGTATTACACTATTATTTAACTTGCTTTAATGGAAAAGTATATAGCAGCTCCTCGTTTAGGTTTCACCTTTTGTGCACATCTTATTACTGATGACTGAGTGGACTAGACTAGATGGGTTGTGTGTGTTACCTGCAGATGTGTCTGCTTCAGTGATGGATGTCATTTTGCTTAACTTGCTGCTGCAATCATTCAAGCAGTCGTGGCCAACCTTTTCATGACTTGTCTAACCTGCAAGCTGTGTTGAGTAAACTTCAGGAGTTTGACTAGACACATTTACTGCTGACTTTTCATCCTTCTCTTCTTTAACTTGGAGGTTGAAAAGATCCCTGCTGCACTGGTGGGGAATGTCACCCCTGCCCATACTCTCATGAACCTGCCCATTGAGACATTCAATGAACTTGTCATTTGATGTCATTGGGGGCATCTAAGTGGCATGCATTGAAAGGAGGTTTTCATATTCATTCAGAGCCTGATTATGTTATTAATACAGTGCAGTAATTATTAACAATCTAGTTTTTATTGAAAGGGTATTGTATTTATTTAGGACAGTGACATGAAGAGTGATATGAAGAATATGTTGCTTACCAATATTTCATAATTACAAAAAAAAAATATATATATATATATATACTACCCTGTTAAGCTTATTGATGTCTCACTAGCCCATCTAATGAACTTCCCAACGTTGCAACCCAAAGAGGTTGCTTAACATCGGGATACCTGCTATAGGAAGCAAACCCAATCCCTTGTGAACAGATTACGGTCACCACTTCACTAACAGAAGTGTAAAAGAAAGCATTGTACATGCAAGCCATTTACTTTATTGATGCTTCTTTGTTTCAGATTATCCTGTAGAAAATTTGATAAAGGATGGGAAAAAGTTGTCATCCTACATTAATTCCAGACACCCGCCACTGGAGAAAGAAGAGTACAAGGACAAACTGGCTAAAGTTATAGAAAAAGTTATGCAAACAGGTATTCAAGCACTCGATGCTTTATCATATTTTAAGTTTTATATAAAGGTTCAAATTTAGATTATATAAAAAGGTGTGCGTTTTAGTTTTCAGATGATCTTAGATTTTCTAGCCGAACCTAAAAAATTTCTTTCCAAAAAAATTCAAGAATAAAATTTAAGCTGTGTAATTATAATTTTTTTATGTACAGTAATATGACCATTATCCAGTTGCTCTTCTTGTAGTAAATGTTGGGAATTAGTCGTCCTTACCCCTGAGACATGTGCTGTGTCTCACTGGGGTACTGTTTGTGCACAGATTCTAGCCACAACCCATACAGTGGCCGTCAATCGTGATTGACAGCCTCCTTTACTGGCTGCATACTCTTCAGCACCTGGCCATTTTGGCACCAGTGATTTTAAAGCAAAAAGCTGGTTTTTTTAGTACCACTTCCCATGATGGGTTGTTCAGGAAATACATTTTGACCTTAGTGTTCCTCAGAATCCCTAGTTTGTGGTTGCTCTGAGTGTGCTTTCTTGGTAGTGCCCCCCTTGGCTAGCACTAACGTGTAGGTTTATGCCTACCAGATTCAGTTCCTTTCTGCCCTTGCCATTTCTTGCTGTTGTGTATCAGTGTATGATAACTTCACAGAGCGTCCGGGGGCTCGCCCAGGTATTCGCGTTTCATTACAGTCAACGCTGGTTTTTCAGTTTTGTACTCTATAGTTAGCAACAGGAAGCCACCTTGGAGACTTCCCAGAAAACCAGCAATGATTATAATGAAGTGCCACTTTCTGATGAGTCTGAGGTGGCTCCTTGGAGCCTCCCTTTTTCCTTCTGGGCAAGTGTTTTTTTCCTTTTCGGTGGCTCTTTGTCTGAGGTAATTCGCTAAAAAGATTCATCAGCTCCCTGTGCTGCCATCTGTTGATGGGCAGTTGGAACTAGAGTGGTAAACTACCCAACTACTGCACAGATCGTTTGCTTTATCTCATAGTAACCCTTACTGTTGTCTGTGCATCTCTCACTACCTTTCTAGTGGCCAAAACCTGGCCTCCTCAATGAGGTGCATAGAGCAGGGGTATCTGTGATTACCTGCTCACTGCACCTCTGTGTGGGGGGTAAAGTTCTGGCCTCTGGTAGGCCCTTATAGACTCGCTTGGGCCTGGTGTGACTAGATATCCGAGGAGCTAACCACATTGGCTAGTAACAGGGGGTCACATTGGATGCATCAGAATTAGGCATTTCATTACTTTCAAAGCTGCTTTTTTTCGGTCTTTCAGTACTGTATGTCCAATGTAAGTCAGTTTTCATAAAGGGGAATATTTAGTTCAGGCCTCAAATACCAATTGGGAACAGTGTGTGTCTGGTCGTTTCACATTTTGCAAAATACCTAGTACATCTTTGAATCGTATGCACAGTTATAGCGTTAAAAGAAAAGGAACAAATTTTCTATAATTGTGTAAACAGTCATTATCCTCCCAAATCTTTCATTACAATGATATGAACATTTCTCCATTATTTTCAGAGACCACCGACCCAATGTCTCCTGGACTACATGAAGAGGAGAGGAAACGGTTATTAGATTCGAGAAGATCTAAAGTTCATGAGAAAATGAAGAAAGAAACTTATAACTGGAGAGCTATTGAGTATAATGAGTACAAGTAAGGAGCCTTGTACCATATTCATCTGTAGTGTTTAAGACTAACACAAGGCAGTAGTAACAAGTGTTTCTAACATGCTGATCTTCAACTACAGTACTCGGTCTGCCCAACCACTTGGGTGGGACGGTAGAGCGACGGTCTCGCTTCATGCAGGTCGGTGTTCAGTCCCTGACCGTCCAGGTGGGGATTGGACCATTCCTTTACCCCGTCCCATCCCACCCCAAATTCTTATCCCGATTCCTTCCCGTGCTATATTATCATAATGTTTTGGCACTTCTAGTGCACTTCTCCTCCTGTTCCCTTCCCTTCCCTACCCTTAGTCAATGTCTGAGAAAGTATTGAAGTCACACAGTGGGATTGAACCCGTATCTCTGAAGTCTTCAGGCTTCAGTATTTTCTCATATATATATATATATATACCAATCCATCCTTCTGTTTTGATACTGTACAGTAGTAGTTTTTGTAACTATGTGCACCATAGAACAAACATTGATGTACTAAGTAACTAGATAGTAGAACTTTGTACTGTTCACTTTATAGTCCGAAAAAATTAAGCTAAAAACACAAGTAATATTCCTAGGTCTAGTATAGCACACATGTACTATATTAGGCCTTGGGGATATACTGTATTAGGCCTTGGAAGGTTAGGTTAGTATAGTTTGTCTTTGCAACACAAGTAGAAAATCATTGTCCGGTTTATCCAAATTCAGTGATACCGATTTCTACTTTCTAATTGCGTTATACATCAGCATATGTACTATGGTCCTCATCCTTCCTATAAGTACTAACAAAACAGGAGGATGGGCTGGATATACAATATCACATTTTTGTGATTTCATTATAGAATGTCTAACTCTTGCTTTGTTTAGGTTTGTCTTCACTCCTGAAAGTACTGCAAGTTAAGAGGCTGCAGTCTCTCTTAAGGCCAGCAGTGGTTTGTTTTACTCTGACTTTCTGGTTACCTTCCCCTTTGGTGACAAAAATAGATATTGCTGCTCCCTGTACCTCTGTGAGGGGGGGGTGGGGGGCAGGTTCTGTCACTGGTCCCCGGTATGCCTGTAGAGTGTCGCAAGTGATGCCACATTGTAGATAGTACCATATCAGTAGTTTCAAGGAGCCAACAGGGCTCGCCCAAAAATCGGCATTTCATTACATTCAATGCTGATTTTAAACACTGGAAACACATTAACCAATCGAATTTCCAGTAATAGAGTAGTGAAGTTCCCCCTACTCATATACATTGTTATGTTTAATTTAAAAATATCTTTGACCCATTAACACATCGTCCTATTTGTACACTGTAATAAAAACTTCCTTTTGTTATTGCAGCGCGGCTCTTTATGCTGTAGCACGGTTGGCCCCGGACTTTGCTTCATTAATTAAGATATTAAGCGAAATAAAGAAACGAGATCCAGAGTTCTCTCCTCCCACTCTACTGGATTTTGGGTCTGGGGTTGGCTCCAGCATGTGGTGAGTATAGCACACCGAGGCAATGAATCTTTATGTATGGCAGAAATGATTGATTTTGTTCCATAATGCAATGAAACTTTCTTTTCTGGTGGGACACTCAGTGGCTTTCCTAGTCAAAGCACTAAAGCAGTCAAGCCTTAGGAACCAGGCCTCTTGAGACCAGCCTGAACCAATCAGGATCAGCTTTTTGGCTTTATCTTCAAGACGAGGAGAGTTTGGTGATCAACCCAAAACAGAGATAAACCTTACCTGGAACCATAAATGCATGAAAACAAGCAACTGCTTGAAACTAAATTTCTAAACCTAAGGAATAGAAGGCAAACAATTGTTTACAGAGGGTGAACATCATAGGGCAGCCCAGAACATCTGGTATCCCTGCCTGTCAGCCATCTAAACAGAACCCTTTTCCCAACTCTCATGGGAAAGAATGGAATAGGACAGGTATGTGATATAACCAAGTGGTCAATCAGAAAAGTGCATATATCATTACAGCGCATGCCTGGTTTCAAAGAGTCTCCTCAGTAGTTCACTGAGCTAACTCAGTGCTCCACAGCAGAGGTCGGAGGGCTTTTCTGAAATAAAAAAAAAATATTAATAAAGCAGAGAAGACAAATTGGGCTAACCATGAGAGAATATGGCAAACATTTAAGTGCCACACAAGTGTAGCAGAGTCTAGGAACATCCATCAGCCAACACCTGCTTAGATGTGCCTGAAGCCCCAAGTTTGAATATTCGATATGGACATAGATTATTGGCAAAGAAAGCCAACAAAGCAGCAAGTTTCTGCATGTCAAGAGAGGGGATAAACCACAGGATGACTAAGCTGAACAACCGTCTGGATAACCTGGGTGAGACAGGTCTTGGAACAACAAACACATGGGACTGAATTGACAAACAAGGTTTTGATCCACCCAGCATGAGTAGCACACAAAGAACTCCACACCACAGTTGCAGGGAAGAGTGTATGATTCATTCCTTGGACAGACACACCAAACATCTTTGAGTAAAGGACTCCTCAGGAAGGTAAACATCTCATTCTTAACCAAAAATGAGAGAGAACGTGGAACTAAAAACAAAGACCAGACTTCAAGCTCACCAACATGGCAACCGAAAGATAAGAAAACCAGGAAGAGAACCTTGAGAAAACAATCCAGGACCGAAGGGGACACAGTAAACCGAGCGGAAAGAAGAAAATGGAGCACCCAGTCCAGAGACTAAGCCAGTTCTGGCGGCACATGATCAGGCTGGAGGAGAAACAGCACACAAGACAGCGTGTGAAGCGGAGGCGAGGAAGTAATGACTGAACGCAAGCTGCAGCAGCTTTGCCAACACAGCACAATACAAGGTGTCTGTATTCTGAATAAGATGCCAATCACGAACTGAGGAACTCGAGTATAGAGCTGCAGTAGACCCACATCCTGAGGGAGAGCAGGAGCAAACAGGCAGTCATTGGGAGGCTGAAAGGACATACCCCCCAAAAACACCTGCAACATGGAAGCTGCCTCATTCCACTCTGGGGACAGACAAAAACTACAAGATTCAAGTGAAAACAGAGGATTATCTGCGAGCCTGGATGACTCCAAAACCTTGTAAGACATCCAATATGGGGAAGAAGACCTAAACTCAAAAGAGGCCGTGTCCATGAACATAGTGTAATCCAGGTCGTGCAGGAGGTACGCACAGAGAGACAACTGAGCTGCTTGCTGGGACATTTAGAGGTTGGAATTCTTCAGAAGAACGAATCTGGAGGACCCAAAGGAACCGAAAATAAATTATGGTGGAAGCCACACCCAAATCAAACTTGTATAGAGGGGGAGCATAAGAAAACCCCACCCCTGCAACAAGTAACCCTCTGCAGAAGTTACAATGGCCCACAAAGAGTGAAATAGGACCCAAGGACTCATCTCCATCTCCCTGGGAACCACAGAAGAAGACCCTAAGGCTGAGCCATCATCTGTGCCACTACCTGAAATAGAGAAATAGAGTCCAAGGGAAAGGCTTCAGGAGATGAGATGGCTGAAAGTAAGATCCAGAAGCTTCACCGGGATCAGTAGGCTCAACTGCCGCCATGCCTAAATCGAACGGGACAAACCCTGGAGCTTACCAAGGCACATCCTGAAGTAAACCCTACAACCCTCAGATGGATCAGAGCTAGGAGGGGGGTGGGGGGTGGAGGAAGGATCAGAGGAAGAGTGGACCATGCCCAAAGGGAAAGGAAGATGATGTGGAGACGGAGCCATGGTTGAATTAACCATTTACAGTGAGAACTGAACACTGGAACCAGAGCGACAGAGTGGGCAACTAGACACTGTTACCATCAGCAGTGATGTGAGTGTGTAGTAGCCAGCTGACCCAGGCTATCTCCCTTACCCTATTCCCCCACAATTAGGGAGGTGGGGTGAATGACCTTGCACTAGTTTCATAAAGTTTTGATCATTTGTTTACAATGTTGGGGAAGTTCTTTTGTGGGTTTGAGGCCGAGGTATTGCCTCTAACCAGCAGTGGTCTGTTTTGTCTTGCTGGCTTTCTGGGTGCTGTCCCCAGTAGGTGGCAGACATGAATAAATTCAGAGATTTTATCATACATGCCACTTCTACCTTTGCCAGGGAAAGGAGGCCAGGTTTTGGCTTGTGGTTCCCAGAAGGCCTAAAAGAACTCTGCAACTGATGGCACTCAGCAGCTTCAGAGTGCCACAAGGGGCTCCTTTCTTCCCCAGATAATATATACAGTACTGTACATAAAAAAAAATGTTTAGAATGCAACTCGGTGGCGAATATTGTATTAATCCATATGTATGCTTAAGGCTTACACAGTATCACAAGTGAGTTCTGTATTACTTTCAATAATGTATGTAAAATATTAATTTAAAACTTTAATTTAGATCCTGTATAAAACTAGAAAGCAAAATTTCATGGAATACTTTCATTTGTTTCCTAATAGGGCTGTGGATAGAACGTGGCCTGGTGCGTGCAGAGAAGCTGTATGTATTGATGCTAGTGCAGATATGAATACCTTGGCAGACAAACTTTTACGAGGTGGAAACTGCAAAAAACCCTTACGTGTACGGCCTGGAGGAACCTTCTTCAAGCAGTTTCTACCCACTTCCGATGCTCATAAATATGAGTTGGTGATGTGTTCTCGTTCTCTGTTTGAACTGCCAGATATAGCATCCAGACTTCGCACAATTGACATACTTTGGCGCAAGACTGGTGGTTACCTGATAATTATAGAAAGTGGTACAAATGCAGGGTATAGGCTAGTGCTGGAGGCACGAGATTATGTACTGGAATTAAGTAGGAGAGCCCAGGAGGAAGGAGACCCTAATCTCCAAGGTCATGTATTCTCACCGTGTTCACATGATATGTTTTGTCCACGATTTTTTGATGGCACTAATATTCCGTGTAACTTTGAAGTTTCATATAAACCATTTACATTTAATAAAAATGCTAATGCAAAAACAGACATATTTAGTTATGTTGTATTGAAACGGGGAAAACGTAATGAGGATGTTGAACAGTGGCCTCGTGTAGTACAGAGTCCTTTGAAATGCAAAAGGCATGTTATATGTCGTACATGTACAAAGTACGGTACACTCAAAGAATTGACGGTGACAAAACGTAGGCATGGAAAAGACTGTTACAGTGTGTGCAAAAGAACCTCATGGGGTGATTTGCTTCCTATTGTTCTTCCGGAGCCAGAGCCAACAAATACACTAGACTCGCCAACTTCCCTGTCCGAAAATGAGAACTGTCAGTTATCGAGATAACACGTTAGCTAGTGTGTTTCTTAAATCAAGAAAATAGTAATAAATAACAGAATCTGTCATAGTTTGTAAAATTAGTTTAAATAGCAACATTAAGAAAGATCTATTGGGGATAAAAGCTATTTGATCTGAATAGTCTATTTGAATAAAGTGTGTATGTGTGAGAAACTACAGACAGATTTCACTACCACCACCTTGCCTAACTTGTTCAAACACTACCATTCTGTTTGCGAAAGTGAATTTTCTCAAATTTCTTCGGCAGCTTTAGTTAGTTTAAATCAATGACCTCTAAGTTCCAGATCTCTGGAATTCATCCCTATCAATTTTATTGAGTCGCATTACTATTTTGTACATAGTGATTATATTGCCTTTTTCTTCTAGTTTTTACCATATTTAATGTGTGTAACCTCTCCACATAGCTATTGCCCTGTGTACTCGCCTAGTTGTGTTTGCGGGGGTTGAGCTCTGGCTCTTTGGTTCCGCCTCTCAACCGTCAATCAACAGGTGTACAGATTCCCGAGCCTACTGGGCTATCATATCTACACTTGAAACTGTGTATGGAGTCAGCCTCCACCACATCACCTCCTAATCTGTGTAGTAAGTACGGCTCTCTTGTACCCAGCACTTTGTCATTCAATTATCTTTGCCTCTGTTAGGGAACATAGGAAGGAATTTTCTTTTTATTGTAGTCAAATAAAGTCATATTTTCATAGCATCATTACCATGTATATTAATGGTACCTGTTGTAATGATACTGGGATTACCGTACCCTTTGACCTAGTGCCCTTACTTATCCAGTATTCCTCCTCCTAGAGTCCCTCAGTGAGGTGTGTTAGTACTAGAGTATCCAGCCTTGCTCCTATTTATTCTATAGTACACCATTTTCCTGGTTGCCCCTCAATGTTCTTTCCTTCCTTGCCTCTGGAATTTTCTTGGCTCTCTATGTTGATGGCCTTGGCCTCTGCTGTTGAGATGACATCCACCTTTCCTCCGATGGCAGCTTCAACTTGTAATTGATGCCGTGTTGTCCTGGGCCACCAATCACGGCTTTCTCTTGGATGTAGAAAACCGTTTTATTCATCCAAGACTTGTGCTATGACTTACTTTGAAGCAGGTCATTCGTCATCCCCTGTGTTGCTCTATGGTAATCCTCTTTTGTATAAAGAGTCTGCTGAACTTTTGGGGTTAATCCTCGACAATCATTTGTCTTAGTTGACCCAAATCTCTTACCTCTGAGCTGAATGCTGTAAGGCCCTCAACTCAAGTCTTGTCCCATACCTTCTGGGAATCTGATAGATGCACACACCTCTGTTTACATTCCTCGCTCATGTTGTCTGAACTATTATGGCTGTCCCGCTTACTTGTCTGCCTCTCCAACTCTTCGTTGTCTTGATTCTCTGCACCATACCCGATTGTGCCTCTGTTGAAACTGGGGTCCTGTCTTTACAGAATCGTCGTAATCCTGTCTTTGCTACCTTGCGAGGTCCCTACATCTTCCCTCTCCCTTATATTGTGCTTTGACTGTTGCCCCACCTGTGGGGGCCCCTGTTCTTTCACCAACTTCTTTTTTTGTATGGTTGTCTCGTTTGCAAGATTCTCTCTGTTTATGTTCCCAATATTTCTTGTCGTTCCATCCCTGTAGAGGGTCCCACTTCCAAAGTTTTGCAAGACCTTGACTCACATGGCAAAGGCTTTTTACCCCTTCTACTGTTTTGAAATGCCTTTTCCTTGCACTTTTTTTTCTTCACAATCCCAGTCCATTGCCGTCTTTACAGATTGTTATTAGTCTACTGACAGTGTAGGCTACTCGATTGCATTTCCTGACCACACTTGTGTCGCCTGCCCCCAAAGACTAGCATCTTCACGGCAGAACTTTATGCAATTTTGTATGCTCTTCAACTGCTTTCTTGCTGTTAATATTCCTTTTCATTTCTGTCAACTCCTGCAGTGTCATCATACAGGTATCATGATGGCTGATGACAGCTATCAGTTTTAAATGGTTACAGTGGTCAAGCACAAATATTAGGATTAAATTAAAAAAACAACAGCTTATTTAAAAAATGTATTTCTTTTATAAAGTGTATTTATAGGACTACCTGTAATCACTATGCCAACCCTTTTAAAAATGTCTGCAAAATTTTGTTTACAGTACATATTTTTCACCAAAAAAACCTAACCTTGGATCCCCTCCCTGCTTTGGTAAACTTATGTATTGCACAATACCAATATAAAAAAACTTGAATGGTTGATAAGACTAAATTATCAGCTAATATGTAGCAAACATTTAGGTAATTAGTTGGCATGAGTTTCTCATAGATAATGAGTACTAAATACATTTAGTATATCCATAGTGTGAACATTTAAATGCTATACACTATACAGTCAGCAGATAAATACTGCCGATTTTAATATATACACAGGAAAGTTTTATAGGTACAAGTAAAAAGGTAGACTGATCTAATTACAGCTCAATCTGGAATGATGTGATTTTTTAAAATGGAATGTAAATGATTATTAAATTTAGTCAATAAAAATAATAATGCTCAAGCTACTCGAGATACTATTAACCAAATGATCTTCCGTTTCATGTAACTAATTAAAAATTACTCAAGAAATTAAAAAAATACTAAACCAAACTAATGGTTGTATCACTTAAGAAAAGCTGGACTGATGTAGCATTTAATGCCAACAATACTCGCACACAACTTTAATGTAACTTTCACAGATAGTCCTTCAACTCTGATAAAACCTGATGATAGTTAAGTTTTGTTGAAGCAGTCATCAAGGAAGTCTTCCATGGAATGATAGTGATGTCTTTTTACACCCGCTAAGCCGTGGTTCTCGTCTGGATAGCTCTGAGGAAACAAATTTGTTTATCTACCGAATACCAATTATTTTTTTTATCCTAAACAGCCGATGCCCAATACTCTGGCTACAGGAAAAAACAGATTGAATCAGCAGCATATAAAAGCAAAAGATACAAATTATTTCATGGATCAAGAGTAAGTGGAACAAATATTTTGGAACACAATAGTGTTGAACCGGAATAAAAACAAACTACCTGTATTTGGAAAGAAATGGAAAAATGCTAGTCCTGACATCTTTTTCAAGCTAGTCCACCATGTGCTTTTCTAAAATGACCAATATTTTTCCAATTATTTATGCCAATTTCTATCTCTAGACTACACTGGTACAGTATTGTGAATTTACACTTATTTGCTCTCAATGGTGCTGCAAGTAAATGTTCCACTTAACAATTCAATGAAAAAGTGTCCTGGGACACTTATTTGAGAAGTACTGTCAACAACAAAATAACCTTTATAAAATCAGCATGTTTTAAGAAAAGCATTATTTTGACAACAGCAAAGTACTGTAACACTATTTTCATTTCCGATTATACAAGGATAAACTCCAGTAAACCAGCAACTAACAAGTTACGAATGCAAATTCTAAAGTATAATCACATTAAATTTAATTTAAACTAACCTGTGACCTGAAGAGAATATCTTCAACTTCTAAAGCTCTGGACAGCATCATAGACTGCTGGTAGTGGACATTATCATCAGCAGTCCCATGAATAAGGAAGAACTCTTTGTTTTTGAAGTTGGATACATTCCTAGTCACATCAGAATAGTCATAAGCAGCAAAATTGTCCTCGGGTGTTGGTAGTCCCATGTATCGCTCAGTATAAACTGTATCTGTGGATAGAAAGAAATTAGGTAACCTAAAATATATTACTTGAAGGTAGAAAAGCAAATTGTTATGAAAATTGTAACGTTTATGACAACTTGATACATTTAAAATGTGAACACGTTAAGTTTTATTTCTTACCATAATAAATCCAAGATGTAACAGGTGCTACAGAGATACCACACTTGAAAATATTATTAACGTCTTTTGACAGAACAGATGCAGTAACATAACCACCATATGACCATCCCCAAATAGCAGTTCGAGAGGAATCAATAAATGGGAATGACTTCTGAAGAGCGCTGAAAAACAAAAGAAACATACCATAATAGCATTAAAACCTCTGTACACAAATAGCCACATGCAATAACATTGACTCCCATAAATAACATTTATGGGAGTCAATGAAGTGCATTTATGGGAGTCAATGAAGACATTTATGGGAGTCGATGCACTTCAATGGGAGTTAATTAGCACTTCATTGACTCCCATAAATAACATGTCACTTAAAATATATTGAGCAATACAGATACCTCTACACAATACTGTACTAATAAACAGAACTAAGTACAGTAAATTCATGTCCAGTACCATTAGTGAATTCAAGTTGCACTTATGGTACCTAAACTAGTCAAATTTGCTTAATGGGGGTAACCTTCAAGGAAATAAAGTCAATAGACTAAATACGTTTTCAAGGAAATAAACAACATCCTGAAAGACTCTACTGAAGACTAACGTATTCTTTACGCTTAATTTGTTTGGTACAAATTCACATGAATGAATTAAATTGACATTTAAAGCATAATATTACTAAGGTTACTATTCATTCCTCATGACAAAAGGTAATATCTTCAATAATCCTCTCTAGATACCCTGTCATCATAATTTCATTATTCACCCCCCCCCCCCCCATCCCTGCTGCCACTGTGTAAATACAATACTCCATAACATAAGTGATGACAAGGGATCTTGTAAATGAGTTTATTGTTGTACATCTCTGCAGCCACCTTCAAGTAAACATTCTGTAAATACTGTACAGTATGCAAGTATGCCTCGGTTCATAATTATAATTCATGAGCTAAATGAATGGATGAAATCAGATACTGTATTACGAAAGAAGCAGTAAAAGGATAGAGTAAGAAATTGTTTAGACACTTACGCTGTGACAGCAAGCTGGTCATCTACTTCTCCCGTTCCTAAACCATAATAAAGTGCATGGAGGAGTTTATCACCAGAATATCCAGAGCCACGACCATCGATTGATGTATATATAATTCCTCTTTCAGATGCCAAATAATCACCCCAATCAATTTTGAATTTGTCACTGACAAGCTGGGAACCTGGACCACCATACCTACAAAGAGAAAAATATTGAAGATTTACAACAATGTAAATGTTGAATTGTTTTTTCCCCAAAGCCTCAAATATCATCAAGTGGTAGTCATCAACTACATATTAGTAAATATTGTAATAATGCAGCAAATATTTACATAACTGAAGTTATGAGTTAACTTACACATAAACCAGCATGGGATAAGACTGGAAACGAGTAGGATTATAATCCGGTGGCAGCTTCATCGACACTTGTGCCTTGAATCCTCCGGCTACATCAATTTCCAGACGTTTTTCTAAAGGCAATGATCGATCTAGAAGTTTTTCCCGAACCTGGAAGGAAATTAAATATTGTAGTAATAGGCTATCTATATATATTTGACACCTGTTCAATTGAAGATGGGGGGGGGGGGTATTTTAAAACCTTCCCTAGATTTAAGATACTTTTAAAGTGCTAAAACATTTCCTAATTATAATGATTCCACCGTAGTTTCGAATCTGAGCTATACAAACCCCAATTTATTGGAGGATTCATTGCAACCAGAGATTCCTTCTAGGAAGCATTTGTGCTATTCAATTATTTATTAGTAAAAAAAATTACTGAACTGTATACTGTGCATGTGGCTTTTCTATAATATTAAAAGGAAAATATATTTCTTTGCTTTAAATTCTCTATCAAACTATTAGCCTTTTAGAATAAAGAATTAATATTTACAATTACTGTATGCAATTACATGCATGATCGATTATAGTATAACTATACAGCTTTACAACTGAACACACACTATGTTGCACAGTACCTCTTGGTTGTCCTCCAACAACAAGAGGCGAGAATGGTCAGAAGAACGATGCATGGTTACTTGTGGAATTCCCGGGCCACTGCAAGTTAGTGCATAGTAGGTACTTTTCTCGCTCATCTCGGCACTGTTGTAATTGCAGTCTTCCTGAAAGTTAAAAGAATGCTAACAAACTCGCTTCATAACTTACCAAATTTACATGGTGATCAACCTTTATAGGGTTTCTCTCCTTTTTATACAGTTTGTCAAGTTGTCATGCATAACTATTGAGTCCCTTAAATTGCACAAAATTTTATTAAAATTGATGAAATTAATCAGCCAAATAAATTACAATAAATTTTAAACATTGTCAATAAATATTTCAAGGAAATTAAACAAATCCAAGCCAAGAAGAGACCAACACAAGTGTTAATGGCTATCGGTGAATCTTGGCTTCTCTTAGTAATAGATATTTCCTAACTGCCACCAGGTAACGTGTGTGCAGTGCAATTAGAAACAAGTTGAAATATAGTAGTATAGAAAAATACTCACGTTGAAGTCATTTTTGAAGCCACAGGTAATGCAATATGCTTGCTTAGGCTGAGTAGAATTAAGATCGCCAACATAATATATGTGTCGTTGACCAGGTTTTCCAGCAGGAGCAGCTGTGAAATATCTTAAAAAAAGAAAAAAACACATCTGCAATCCATCATTGCTAACATGAGGCAGTATAAACACGTTAAGTTAAGGAATGTTATCATATTACTAGTTCCAGTACTGTTAACTTTATTCAGCATGTTCAGCATATTGTGTTGCATAAATATGGACGTGATTAGGTACTCGAGCACAAATATTCATTTAAAGCACTAAGTAAAATTTAGTGCTCCTTTATTAAAGATTTATAAAATAGCACTGGAATTAAGATTTAGATTAAAATATAAAATTACAAACTCATAACAATGCATTGAGCATCCTGAGGATGCAACATCAGTGAGTTGGACAACAAAAAAATTCCTTGAGAGGAACAAGCGAGCAACAACAAAAAAGTTACACAGCTACCTTTATACCGTATATTAATTCCAACGTAATTAGCACTCGCTTTTTGATCACGCATCACCCAGTTGTTACATGTCTAAACAATTTGTTAAAAATGACACCAAATTTTTAGTCATAACCCAACAAATAACTAAGAAAACACAATGATTGTACAATTTTTATGCATCGCTGAGTGGGGCCCCTGGGAAGCTGTGACAATTTACAGTTAGGAAAGCGCAGAGAGCTCGGACCGAGTGTTAAAACATTTATACGTTCTTATTGGCAAGTTGTGGGACTATGGAACTATTAAATATCCATAACTTGAGCAAGTGCATTTGAGCCCACTCCCACAAACTGCTATACTGTAGTAGGTAGAAAAGAAAGACATGCGCATTCCATACCTGCTAATCTGCACTATAGTATGATCCAAAAATAAATTTGATAAACTAGCCTCATTCAACATTTTGGATAAGCGCATGTCCTTTTTTTTACCATTGATGCAATGTTTTGAAAAATGGTAAATAAATGCCACACATTATGCATGTATGCCTAGATAGATAATCCCACCAACAGAATTAGTGAAGTATAGAAACAAAGCAATAATGTAAAGGAATTACACATCTTAGGGAAGAATATTAGAGAATTAGAGTCCATTAGATAATATTACAAGGAGTAATATTCTTCAAACACATCTTCAAGTTTACCAGATTCTATAATTTCATGAACTCATTGAAAATTGTAATTAAACTCACATAATATGATTAGTCTGGTCCCATGAGAGAATATCTACAACTTCATATGTCCCAGTTGTCAAGGGAATCAAGGTCTTGTCCGATGATTTCCGAATGTTAATGTGCTGCAGAAATCAAAATCTTTATTATAAACTTTATATTAAGCAATGTTTGCATTGTTTATACAATGTACATTACAGTATATTGTTTTCATATACCATCTGCTCATACTAAATATCATAATTTATAGTAGGCAAAGTCAATACAGTTGTATATCAATTCCACACTCAAAGGAAATTAGACTGTGTGTATTACACATACAGTATATACCGTATAAACAACAAGCTTACCTTGAAATTTCCCTGATCTCCCTGAACTGTGGGCATAATGATGAGGTAAGTGTCTCCATTAACCTTATCAAACATAGGTGCAGTGTAGAGGTCATTCCAGGCATGATCTGGTGACTCGTGTACCAGATCATCAGTGCACGCACCAGTGTCTGCTGAGCATATGCTAATGGTATTCACATTCTGAAAATGATTTCATTATTACTATAGATTATTAATTATGAACATCGTTTACATCAAACCACGACGTGTTAAACCTGCACTCAAAATTTCAAATACAGTACTGTATATCCATACATTAAAACTGTAAGCAATACTAGCACAATTCATGGGAATAATAGATTGCTTATCTATACAAAATGCACCCACCTGATGTCTATTCATCCATATAATGGAAACTTTATCCGGAGTTGCCCAGCCAACAGAGGTGAAGTAATGATCAAGTGCCGCCAAGGAGTTGGGAGGAGGCAGGCGCGTCACCGTCTCTCCACTACCGCTCACCAGCTTGGAGAGGTCAACTACCCACAGGTCCACCACGGGATTGGCACGACCAGGCTGAAATGATTATTTACTTAAATATTGCACTGTTCTATGAATGAAAACCCAAATTCAAAAAACATTATTTTTATAAATACTGTATACTAATTTTTATTGTAATATAAATATTTATGAAAATAATCAATTAAAGTTAAATTATTTAACTAATTAATTTTTTCATACATGTATAATTTTTGTTGCAGTTTATATACAGTATAGGTATTTTTTTTAATTTACAAAGTAGTATACTGTACAAGGCATTAGCTTCCTTCTTGAGGTTATCTTGAGATGATTTCGGGGCTTTTTAGTGTCCCCGCGGCCCGGTCCTTGACCAGGCCTTCACCCCCAGGAAGCAGCCCGTGACAGCTGACTAACACCCAGGTACCTATTTTACTGCTAGGTAACAGGGGCATAGGGTGAAAGAAACTCTGCCCATTGTTTCTCGCCGGCGCCTGGGATCGAACCCAGGACCACAGGATCACAAGTCCAGCGTGCTGTCCGCTCGGCCGACCGGCTCCCTTGTTGAATTTGGCAATACAGTATTGACATTTTCCTTGTTTTTAAAACTTTCCAGTTAATAATTCATTAACAATTGAACCACAAAGTTGTCACGTGAAACGGGTGCACAGTACAGGAGTTAATATAATGTAACCACAAGTTCTCTAACCTTGGGGTACTTGATGGATTGTTGAATTGGATACTGGAATGCCAAGTCTCCAGGACGACCGTAAAGAGGGAAATTCATAGTATCCACGTGAGAGTCATTGAAGGTAGCAAAGGCAAGGCGCTTACCATTGGAGTTGAACCATAAAGCAGAATTGGAGCTCAGAATTTCCTCTGTGGTGGGAGAAGTAAATATTGCCATTAACAGTGCATTTAGTTTAGTATCTACACTCGGTGCAGTTTTAAAAGTTTATATGATAAAGAACACCAGTCACGGTTTCAAGAGCAATCACTACCAATATTGGTTCGTCAGGAGATATAAATGCAACCTATAGCCTACAAGTTTTGTTAAAAAAAAAAAAAAAAAAAGTGGATACAAATGTAGAAGACTTCCACCTCCAGTTAGCAGGCCTAGAGCCTTCCGTTCCCACAGCAAGCCTTACCCTACTCATTTTCCCCGGGACATGATCTGCCAGTCAATTTACAACCAGGGCCTCAATTACCATTAGGTGAATAGTGGCCAACAGTTGGTGTCCAATGATTCGTGGCCAGGGTTCGAACCCCGATGAAATCCCTCTGACAAGAGGTGAATGTGTTACTACTACACCACCAGGGACTTGAAAATTTAGATATGTTTTAAGAAACTAGCAAATGATTATGTCTATAAACTAATTATATAATACACGATATACGTATATATAACTTCCACTGCTGTACCTTCATACACCCAATCAGGTATGCCGTTAAAGATGCTGCCAATCTGGCCAGTGTCAGTGAGTCTATACATGGTGTCCAGATCAGGGCCGGTGGTGTAGTACAAGTCATTGTGTGATACAAAGGCCATAGCATCATCAGTAGGAGCCCAGGTGGCATACAGTAGAGGTGGCTGATCAAGTCTTGACCTCACTCGAGTTGGAGCAAGCGGGATGGTTTCTCTGGAACAGAAGGTGTGTAAGTTGTCTTTACTACTGTAGACCTGTTCAATCCAGCTCAGTCTAGCCAGAATTTTAACAATTTGTACATGTTATGAATAAAGCATTTAATTCTGACTGTACAAACAGTAGTGGCTGATCACAACACTGTACGTAGTAGTTGATTACAATACAGTATATGTTTGGTTACAGTATGTTTTAGAAATACAGGATTTTATTAAGATGTCATTTGCTGTGTGTATAGACAATTCCAATTCTCAGTTGATATGTTGAAGTACATCTATCTTTCACATTACAGTACTTGCACAATGAGAACCACTTACCCAGTCTTCAGGTTGAGAATGGTGTGACGGGCCAAATAGGAATATCTGAACAGCTGAAACAGCAAATATGAGTGTTAATATATACTGTATTTTAGAAGAGCAATACTGTGTATACTGTATAATCAAAATATAAAATGCTACAAACAATCTTGTACATGAAGCCTATTAAAATTTAGATCATGTCACTCAAATGCAATTACCAAATTTCATCAAAAGATGCAACTGACCTTTTGAACATCGTGAACCATGAGGAGATACTTCCTGCTAGGCGAGAGACTGTACTTAAATGGACGCCATTCACTCTAGGAAAAAACATTTAAATTAGGAAGGTTGGTCTGTCAATATGTTAACTTTAAATGTACAAATAGACTTGTACAGTAAAAAGATTTAGTTCAAACATAAAAGTGGAGAAATACATAGTAATAAATTTTCAAGTAAATAAATGAATGTACTATATATGGCACACTATAATGCCATGAGAGTATTTTAGGCACACTTGAGAAAGCTATAATTACCGTCTAGGATGTTAACAATTATGTAGGGTAAAGTTTCATGCAGATGGTGTTATATGTCAAACATCTGCTTTTACAGTACATTATTGCCTGCCTAAGGCACATCTTCCTAATTTGAAGGGCAAAATGCTACTTTAACCCTTACACTGCTCCAATTGTCATATTTTGTTCCTTTTGTTTAACCTATTTTTAGTCATGTGCACCTCGATTTGGTACTTTTAAATGTCTGTGCCATTTAGGGGTTATAGATTTAGAAAATTTATAAACACATACTGAAACATACATAAGCAGCTAATGTAAAGAAAACGGTTAGCAACACTATATACTTAACGAAGCACAACCTCTGGAGAAAGCATCAGCCCATAAACCATAACACATTATGACAGAGAAGGGCTCTAAATGCAGCCACCCAGGAAATCAGATGAGCCAAAAGAAAATGTGCTCAAAACAAAGAGATCCAAAGTCTATGCCTATACAAGTAGTAAAACTAACACTTGTAGCAGAAGATTGATGAAGAAAAGGGCCTTGGACTAAGAATACAACCAGCTCTGAATGTTGCACAAGTGGCAACTGCAGTATTGTATATATATATATATATATAATAATAAATAATAATAATAAAAAAAAAAACTAGGAATAGTCAAACAAATCTTTGATTCCAAGGAAAACATGGTAGTTACAGCACTCGGCTGTATAAATCTCTGGTGCTTGGATGCACTAATCCAAGTGCATCCAAGGATGGAGACCTTCAGAAACAGCCGCTTTGGAGAAAGTTCAACACCAGAGGACAAAAATCATTCCTAAACTATGTCGACACTCATACCAGGAATGGTCGAGGGCCATAGGAGTAACAACACTGCAAACCAGACATGATAGGGCCAATACCAAAACTTAAAATACCGACCTTTGAGGATATTGATCTAGACCATTTTTATAAAAGATCACATGTAACACAGACAAGGAATAACCGTTTCAAGCTCAGCAATTCATAATGTAGGACAGAAAACAAGATGCCTTTTCACTCTTAGGGTTAAAACCCATGGAACCCACATACCTGCCAAAGCCATTAATGCCTGAATTGCTGCAATTCGAGATCCAGCTCGATAAAATTGTCAGGACAAACGGGTGGACCTTTGACAAGTCACCAGCTTCCTGTTCTCATCAAGACCACTAGAGAAATAATGGCCCTCGGGTAAAATTCACGTAAAATATTTGCTATGGAAAAAGTTCACCACAGAACAAAAAACATAACTGCTAACTCTTATACCAGGAGAGACTGAAATCCTCAAGACTAACATTACAAAAATAAAAAGGCCAATCTCATCGAGACCTTTAAAATTCTGAACATTTTTTTAAATATTAATCCACACCACTTAAGAAGTGGTAATGCAACACACAAGAGGCAACAGCTTCAAACTCAACAAACAACACTATAGGAAAACATTTATAATTTTCACTCATTGTAATAAAACCCATGGAATTGCCTATCTGCTAAAGCAGTAAATGCCAATACAGTACAATATTTAGTGGAGGTCCTAGTAGTAAAATTTATTCTTGACTCACAATCTAGACTTCCAGGTCTGAATGCCAGGCAGCACAGAAATGGTTGGGCACATTTCCTATCACCTCGTGCATCTGTCCACCTAGCAGTAAATAGGTAATCAGGAGTTTGTCAGCTTATTGTGAGGTTGCATCCTAAGGAGGGTTAGTAATTCAACCCTGAGGGAGGACCTCAATATGACCCTAACATGTACTGTATGTATAAACTGGTCACTTGTATCCCGACAATGAATTAGTGTTATGAATTATTATACTGTATAATACTTCAGTAAATATTCGACTTGAAAAAGTCTTTAAATAATGATAACCCACCAGCTTCCTGTCCCTGTCGAGGCCACTAGAGATGGTGGCTCTCTGGTAAATTAAGCAGGCCTATGCATGCTATTCTGGTAACACCTATCCTAAATTGGACTTATCAGAATAGCAAGTTTACTACATTTAAAAGGGTGTTATCCCTTAGTGTAGCATTACTACACGAAAGGATAACACCCTTTCGTGTAGTAATGGAGTTCTCATCAACATGTTACACAAACTGGAAAACCTGGGTTCGAACCCTGGGCAGGGTAATGTTTCAAATGAATTGCGAGTTAGGATGCTTAGTCTGCAAACAAGAGTTGCCACCAATGCCAATCTAAGAAAATTTTGCTAGTTACCCTGTTTGCTAAACTAATACTGTAGATACAAAAATATAAACTGACCTAACCAATCCTTCACACCTCTGATCTCGCCACACCATCATGCCTTACCCTTAACATCTATTTCCTTTAATAAACTTATTGTTAATTTGTCAGATTTGTTAGACCTTACACACTAAACGCTATCTATAAATAAAGTCCTCTCTATTGTTCCTCCATTTTGTCATCAACACTGCTTTTTACAACCCAAAAATGGCCAAGGTAATTTGTTTTTTTGTTTTTAAAGTTTTAATTAGAGTCGAGCAATTACAAGCAGAGTAATTACAACCTTGAAAACTCAACCAATTTGGTTTGTTAATACAGTGTTTAAGAAATAACCTGTCAACCTTCCCCATCCTTAAAATCAATATTATCATGATTCATAACATAGGAATTCATATAGACTTCTGTTATAATTAAAATAAATACCTTATCTTCAGGCAACAGCACCAATCTTTGAAGTTTTTCTAAAAAGTTGCATACTACTATTCTCAACAATGTGGCCTAAATTTAAGCAGACTAAGACTAGTAGATCTTAACATGCAGCACTCATTTTATTTTTAATCTGTGCTTAACAGCATAATGTACCTACCATGACTTCTTCACTGACCAACTCGTCAGATAATTGTGTCGCCACTGTGAAAATGTTAAGGGCTCCCGATTCAGGCCGGTACAAGAACTCGTTATCTGTGGGGAAAAATATTATTATTATTATTTTCAATAGCATTTGCTACATCTAGTATTTTAAGTACAGTAATCTCTAAATAATTGGGGGAACTCTTTATCAACCAGAGAATACTGCAAACTTAATCAAACTAGTGCATGCAGCTAACTAAACTATAACACGCCAAGCTTTTGTGATTTATAATATTTCCAATGCTAACACGCGTGATAAAATGCAAAAATCAGGAGACCCTGTGAGCTTATTTCTAAATATTTATTTTATTTTATTGTATTAGTTTAAGTACAGCCATGTACGCATACATGTGTACACACGCACAGAAACATTAACCAGTAGAATTTATTGCATTCACTTACCAGAGATCCACGTGCCATTGAAGGACTCTGTTGAGAAGGTTCCATTTAGCACCTCTGCTAGATCTATGCCACCTGGAGTGGCTGTTAATGCCGAGGTCTCGGGCGCTGCAGTGGAAGGACTGTAAATACATTAATTTAGTTTAGAGTATTCTTTGTGTCCAATTGTGAAACATTTACACAAGTTGCAGGTTTTTTGCAGATACAGCATTTAGTTTATTAAATACAATTTTAGTACAGCAGCCTAATAATTTGTTGCTCTCTTCCTTTGGTACCAGCCAAGCCACAGGGCATGACAGGACTCATTTCCTAGAAACTTAAAATACTGGATACTGATACTTGGAGGATACTGACCCAAACTTCATCTTTAAAAAGGTCAGATGTAACGCATACAAGGAGCAACGGTTTCAAGCTCAAGCCACAGTGTAGGACAAAAAACGGGAGCTGTTTTTACACCATAGGTTATAAACCCATGGAACTGCCGCAGCTGTAAATGCCAAGACACTGCTGCAGTTCAAAATCCAACTGGATAATAACAGGGAAAAATGGGGTAGGGGGGTTGGGGACCGTTGACTAGCTGTGGCTTCCTGATCCTGTCGAGACCACTAGAGAGATGGGGGCCCCTGAGGTAAATTCAGGTGTGAAGAAACCCAGATATTTGTTTAACCCATTGGTACAAGACAAGGCCATCTTAGAAAACCTGTCGAGACCACTAGAGAGATGGGGCCCCCTGAGGTAAATTCAGGTGTGAAGAAACCCAGATATTTGTTTAACCCATTGGTACAAGACAAGACCATCTTAGAAAAACTAACTATTGTACTGACCTGCGTGTAACTATAACTGTGGCAATGCCAGCAGCCACCAGAAGCATGACCCCAACAGTGCCCAAGAGCAGGCTTCTCCATACTCGGGACCGCGTTGACCCCACAAGCTCCTGTAAAAAAAACAATGTATATCAGATTTGATTCATGGAAGAGTAAGCAAGTGTGTGTAACTACCTAAGTGTAGTTACAGACTAGAGCTACGGTCGTGGTGTTCCGTCTTCCCATTAATATTCCTTTCTTTTATGAAGAATGCTAAGTGCACATTTCCTTCATTTCAAAAAGGTAAAATTCTCTTTGTATTCTATTATTGGACATGTCTATACATGGCTTCCTAAAAATGCTTAATTTCAGATCTCAAATATTTGCAAAATGAATATGGTGAAAATGTCAAACTGGCTTGTGAAAGGGAACTGGTTCGAGATCCCAGAATGGATGAAGGCAGTTTTTTTGTCAAGGGAACATTTCCTTCCTTTTACTGACCTGCTGGTGCGTTTATTTATATTAAACAATTTGCAATTTTTGGGGAACTGTGTGTGTTAGCTTAATTCCCATTTAGTGTTGTCTACCCCATTAAACCTTTCAACAACCTCACAATTTTATGTTATGGCTTAAACTCTGAGTATTAGCGACCTTATTAAATGTAGATACTCTGTAAAAATTATTATACCCTTGTATAATCTTATATCCTTCTTGGAGATCTCATCTTCAAAAGGATATAGCTGCTCTGGAGAAAGTGCAACACCGGGCAATCAAAATTCATTCCAGAGCCAAGTGCATAGTTTAGTTCATTTATTATGCACCCCATACCCATCTTGTGGGCGGTACTCGCATATCGGGAACGGTTGAGGGCCACAAGTTCAAGTATGTTTATTGAGACAAGAAAAAAATACATCTCAAAGGGATAGAGTAGCTTAGGCTATTTCTACCCTTCTATATGGCCTCAGGGTTAACACTACAAACCGAGCATGACAGGGGCGGATCTTATCGAAACGTTTAAAACAATGTACTAAACAAATTGAAGAACATTGATCCAGAAAATGTCTTCAAAAGGTCAGGTGTAACAAAGGAGGAGCAACGGTTTCCAGCCCAACAAGCCACAGTGTAGGACTGAGAACAGGAGATGCATTTTCACCCATAAGGTTATTCACCCATGGAACCGCCTACTTAAAGCCGTTTATGCCAAAACTGTTGGGTTTTAAAGTACAATATAGATGGAAAAGATCAAGGCAAATTGTGGGACCTTCAACAAGCCACCGGCTTCCTGTCCTCATAGAAGCCACTAGTGTTGGTGGCTCTCGGGTAAACTTGTACACATTTTTAAATTGTTATATCCAAGTATCTCCCACTTAACAACGCATGTACTTTCATAATCCATTGTACCTCCTTTTGTACATCAATAAATAAAATGCGGGCTAAAATTTGAATTAATTCTATATGGTGACTTGTACACCAAGTGGATGGGAATAGCACTAAGAAGCATTTTAATAATTAAAAAAAACCATGTTATAAAACAGGTCTGCTGTGGGGTTTATATCAAGATTTATTTACTACATGGAGCCAGCACGCTAGTGCTGGCTCCATGTAGCTGGCATTCTCCATATCTGGAGAATGATGTATTAACTACACCAGGCACCCTTAAGTATTAGACCTTCGACAAAGGTTTGGGACCCGTTTAAGAGTAAAAGTTACAAGAGAAATGTAACAAAATATCACCTGCTGCCTACATAGAGCAATATAACCACATAGGTCAAGCGACGTGGGGGCGCACAGCTGTGGCGCACCAACCCGACCTCTTAATAGAACGTCATTGCATTTTTGACATTTGCAAAAATTATCCGCTTAAGACACGCAAAAGTTGGCGTGTAGGAGAGAGGTTAACCTGTGGGTAAGTCGGGCGGGCGTGACCAGTCAGTCCTCCTAAGGTTTCCCAACGTCATTGTTTCACAAATTTCATTTTTCATTACTCTCGGAATGCTTGACAACCGTTGAGGTACTAAAAGGCCCTACAACATGCACTTCTTGTAAGGCAGCAACATCCTAACCTACCAGAGGACCCAAAACGGGACAATATGTCAACATTCAATTTGTAATTCTTAAAAAGTTCTGCTAACACCCCCAACTCCAAGGACTCCTGCAAGTCACAGTATCCTTCACTCCCACCTCACCCCAGAAAAACACGCCACGTGTGTAGTAATTACCCAGACGGCGGGAGGAGGAGGAATTAAGCGAGATGTTGGAGATGGAAAAAATGCACCTTCCTAGAGTACCAGCGATACCCAGGAAACGGATGAACTACCTCTGCTCTACAAAGGTGGCAGTAAAGAATTCTCAACACCAAACCAATAGCACTAACATTGCACATATCCCCTTTACAGCAGATACTGATCTTTATGAATGTAGCATCGAGAAGGAAAAACGGTAAACATCTAAGCTAATCTACGTCTGCCAATGGAACACTAAAAGCAATATGTTCGGTGAGGATAACTTCGAGCCTACGCTACTGAAAAAGAAAACCAACCCAATAATAAATACAGTCAGACTATAGAGCGGGAGGGCAATGTAAAAGGTCATGCGAGTGATCATGTTGGAAGACCTTGCTTTTCAAGATTCGCAACTGCAAGATGATTGGCATGAAAAAAATTTAAAAAGTACTATCTTGCTGGAGTGTTCTTTCCTTTAACTGAGCTGCTGTACCATTATTTTAGATTCGGCTACTCTGAACAAAATTTCCACGTGGCACGGACCTCTTAACCTATAAAAACTGCTGCTGTGCCGTCGCGTCAAAATTATGTAACAAGGGAGGGAGATGTGGTGGTATAATGGCAGCGTCAAAGCACTATGGTTACGGAACGGTCACTAGAGTTGGAGCTATCCTAGAGTTGGAGCTATCCTCGAGCATGCAAGCCCACACGTCCACAAACAGTTACACACAGTTGCAGAGATGTATGCGAGCACACGCACTCCCGTGGTCCTTATGCAAAGGAGACACACCAATGGCGTCACTAACATCAATCAAATAATCAAATCGGAAATTTAATTTAATTATGCCAGCACCATCCAGGCTATTGTAGAGACTGGCTGGCAGGTAAATAAATATAACTTCTACACACGCCGACATCTCGTTAATGAATCTATAATTTCTTATAAACCCTAATCCAGTTGTATAAAAATACCTTTGACACACTCGTACAACACCGAAGTTGCTAACGAGCACAGTCTGGCACGCACAACAAAACTTAACCAGAAAAAACTAGCGGGAAGACAAGCGAGAGCGAGCCTTGGTCACACAACAGCAAAGTTTCAGGTCCAAACTAGACAAGTCTCCCCCACACACAACGCAAGGAGACTAACTAAACAGGTTCCAACGAGATGGAGGCTACAGGAAGGAAAATGTGTAACTTCTGGGAAGAAGCTGCCATCTTCACAAAACCCGGACTAAACATTCAGAAGCCCGTCTGGTGTGTTCAGAGGTTATTTCCAAGGAAAGTGTCTGAGGGATATGATTACAATTTATGTTTGGACATTTGTGACCAGGAGAGAAAAGCCTAAGGCTCTCTTTTCTACTTCCTCCAGCTCAAGTGCCTGCAGGAATAATATCCATGAAAATTTAAAAACTAATATCTTTTCTTCCACTTGGGTATTAATGTGAGACTAGTTCTGAGGAGCAGGACTGGGAGCTGCCTACCTGTGGCAGGTAGCTCCCAATCCTGAGGACTATGTGCAAACTCTGGAAAGAGCAAGTGGGGTCATGACTGAACATTAAATAATGTTCAGTCATTAAAACCTTTAGACACTGGTATGCGATGTTTGGAGCATTACAATTAATTGATTAATTATCTTGTTGAGGGTATCCACAATCAATCTAGTTTGCTAGCATAGGCTAACAAACTAGATGATAAACCCCCTGCATGATAAATCATCTTGCGAGATTGGGATTCTAGTATCAAACAACAACTGTTATAAACCTTGACAACCTTCACAGTTTAGTGTAGCTGCGTAACTGGAGAAAACTAGGCCCTATGTTAAAATAAGAGCCTAGTTATTAGGCTACCTATTGCCCGAAACGCTATGCGTATCGGTGGCTTTAGGTATTGGATTTATAGATAGCGCTAGTACATACAACATTATGTTTCTAACTCATCTATGTATGTACTTTTACCCGAATAAAAATTGGAATTTGAAGGTGAAAAGATCTTTCAATTGGTGTAGACTGTGTACGAATACGGACTGCGAAAGCAAGGCCAATCGATCCTTTTGACTTTAGGAGTTTTAAGCAAGAGGTGTCAGAAAAGTTTAACAGTAGGGTAAAACTGGGGCGGACGTGGACGCTGACAAGGTCCTACCCGACACATGCCACTAAACTGGTTTTTTGTATCCGTCACAAGTACTCTATAATGTACCTCAGTGTTACCTCTGAATAGTTGACGTACCAACTATAATACTTGCTACCTCCCGCACACCTCGCAAAAATATACGGAAACATTGCATTAATGCAGTTTAAACGAAAATACTGCAATAATAAAGCTTCGATATTGTAAAATAATAATAATAGAGCACATCAGCTTTTATTATGCTAACATGACAAAACATTTGAAGCACAAAACTGCAGTATCAACACTATATTATAGCCTTGTTAGACACACAGCTGGCCGGGAAGTCTAAGGTTATTTCCCTGCTGCGAGTCACGCTGTACTGGAGGCAAGCGGGATCCAATCGTCCTTCTGAGGCTTGGACGGTCAACACCAGACCTGACAAAAATGAACAAGCAAATCGCCCCCCCCCCCCCCCCCCCCGCCGCCCCCTACAACCAATGGTATAAGAGACGCTGTAGGTGTATAAACAAATGTCATTATTTACCCGAGGGCCACTAACCCCAGTGGCCATGAGGACAGACAGCCGGCGGCTTGTCGAAGGTCCGCGCCCCCTCTCCTATTCATGATTTTTTCCAGGTATTTATTTACCCGAACAATACAGAATAACTTTTATGGGACAGGAAGCCTATACTTAGGCTTATCAGTATGCCTATACTGATTTTTTGGCCCTAGGGTTTTGATTGATTGACCTCTAGTTTTTACTGATGACCTTTCCCAGGATGTGACCTTCCCCTTCC